ATGTATATGTATAACTGATTCACTTTGTTATAAAGCAGAAACTAACACACCATTGTAAAGCAATTATACTCCAATAAAGATGTAAAAAAAAAAAAAAAAGAAATAAGGAGGAGAGTGTGAAAAGGTAAAAGGGAGAACCAGCAGAGGATGTAAGGTATTGATGAATTTGTTATTTGATAAATTGAGTTTGAAGAGGCTATAGGATATCAAAAGGAGAAATGGCAGGTAGGCAATGGAAGAAGGGGAACTGGAGAGAGATCTGGGAGTAATATGTAGATTTGGGAACTTTATTCATGGAAAAAGATGAGTCCATGAGAGTAGATAGAATTTCTGAGGGTCAGAGTAGAATAGATGACTGAATATTGTCCATTGGTCCACAATGCTTAAGACTAGGATGGATTAGGGCTTTAAAGATGGGTTCAAGTTGGAGATAATCCTTGGAGAGTATAGTAGTATTGTGGAAGCAAACTGAAGGTCAAGTTTGAGAAAAGAATATTGTTATTAGTAAGTAGTAGAGAAACCAAAGGGAATGTGGTCTAAGAGGTCACTAGATTTGACAGTTGTGTTAGTGGTACAATTAGAACACTTTTGGCAAACTAGTGAGGACAGAAGGACACAATTTTGTGAACCATAAAGAAAAAAAATCCTTTTTCTTTCTCTACCAGAATTCTCTCTCAATCTGAGCTTTATATGCAGAAAAAACCTCACTTAATGTTCCTAAATGGAACAAAATGAAACATATTGTGTGAGAATTATAAAAAATTGGAAAACAGAGACAAAAATTAGTATATTAAATAATGCATTATTTTGCATTTGAAAGCTTCCTATTTTAAGCCATTTTGGCATTCTCGCTTTAAAAAGTCAATTTGGACAGCTTGAATGTGGTTCTGAAAAAAAGAAAACCTACTTTTGCCTTTATTCTTTTGTATTTTTTGGAACAAAATATTTATGTAGGATCCACATAGATCATCCATATTTGCATGTGTCATACAGTAAAAATATATATGACATATATTGGATAATTTAACATACAGAATGCTGAATATTTATTGACTAATGTGAGTCACTGTATAGCTTGGGCACTAACCTTTAAAAATTGGATTTAATTCAAGACTTTATTTCTCCTTGGTAGTTTCTTTAAAAACGTATTTAAAAATAAATACTGACAAGTGATACTATGGTCAAAATATCCTCTAATAATTCTTGAGGATTCAGAATTTAAATTATTTAAATTAGAAATAACATAATCATACTTCTATTGGATGTCAATAAAAACTGCAAGAATTGGACTTCCCTGACTCCATGCCTCCACTGCAGAGGGCACGGGTTTGATGCCTGGTCGGGGAACTAAGATTTCGCATGCTGTGGCACAGCCAAAAAAAAAAAGCTACAAGAATTAAAATTTCTATAATTTAGGGGACTGAGTCTTTATTGAATTTGGAAACATACATGAACATCTCTCAGACTATTTAAACATTTAGTTACTTGTTAGGATTCTTAATTGTTTGAAAACCTACACATAAGTATTAGACTCACACTGTGTTCAGGGGGAATAAATGATAAAACTTTAAGTTGATGCCACCAATACATTCATTCTTATTGTATTCTGACAAGATCCCTTTAAAATTATTTGTTTTCACAATATTAAGTGTTAAAATATGTATACAGTACAGATAAGTTAACAAACAAGCTACAGCAGTACTTGATATTTAAAGTCAATATGACTTAGCAGTTATGATCTACTGTATATAAGACTGTGAATCTATTTCAGTACAGTATTTCATCCTGCTTCATTTGGCTTCATAAACAAAGCATACCAAACATTTACTCCAGATTATTTTGTAGCAAAATGAAGTATCAGTTTTAAGATTCATATTATCGATTTTCACATGTACTCTGAACTGACTGAATTTTAGTTTTGAAATTAATATTACAGCATTTAAGAAATGTACAATTATTAGTCTTTTATAGTTATTCAAGTTTAGAATTTTAGCAAGAAAAATAGTTTTTAAACTGAGGAAGTTGTAAAATTAGCTCACATGATGACTTTGAAAATAAAAGTCTCTTTGTAAGTTTTTTATTTAGAAAGGTTATTTGAAAATTCACCCATTGGTTACAATTCAGATTGTGACCATCTAAAATTGATTCGCACATCACAAAATATATGAATAAATGATCATAAGAATTTTGATTGAGAAAGGTAAATGGTGTTCTTTGAGGTGATGTGATGATATGTTTAATATTAAGTTGGTAGTGGCTTTAATATAAAGAATTTATTTCTAAAGCCTTCTATTAGGGATTTAATACCAGATTTTTAAACCACAGTAATTTCGGATGAGTTTAATGTTTAATTTATTGGCTTTTTAAATTGCCTCAGTTCATTCAGAATTTTCTGAATCTGTTGGGCGGATCAACATTTTGGTTGATTTGATAGAGTATAACCTTCCATTTTGAGACTTCCAGCATATTCCTCTTCTCCTCTCTGGCTTAGTCTTTGCTTTTGGCTTGTTATATTTACCATTTAGGTTGTTTTCCCCACATACATCATGGCACCACCAACCTCCTAAAAAGGATAGGTACGCAGTTTAATAGATACAAACTCATACGTAGTTACTGTTATTATATTTCTCCAGTGAGTATATCTTCATTTCTTATAAATATAACAGTGTTGTATACATATATTCCAATTTAAAAGAATTTATACAAGTCTCATATACCTGACCAAAAATAAAATATCTGAGAAAGGTTAGAGGTAAAATACGTACTCAAACTAGAATCAAGTTAACACTTATGTTGAGACGTTTACCTATAGAGAAAATGTTTATATTGGATTCAGATTTTAAAGAGTTGTCTGACATTGAAAGATATTAGCTATTACTTTGGGAAGATATTTTGAAACTTTGAAAATAAAGTATTTATATTAGGAACAGGTTACCTGAATTACTTTCTGGACAATTGAAGTGTCCTTTTGCTTTGTGATCCCAAGTAGAAAACATCAAATCTTTGTGTTCCGGGAGTGCGTTGGGGACATTGCCAGCAATCTCAACTAGATGTAGTGTATAGTTGGTTTCATGATCTCCCAAGTGAAAAGAATATTCAATATAATGCTTGTTGTCTTTCCAATCTTCTAGCTCAATTCGTAAGATATATTTAGATTGCTTTACTAGGGAGTATATCTTCTCTAGACCCAACCAAAATTCTCCTGAAAAGAAAAGTTGTAAAAATCTGTGGATTGTTAACTGCAGATTAGGCAGCAACTATTTTTTTTGAGAGTGTTCTTTTTTCTTTGGTGTAAGTAGATTAGATGTTTTAGTCTTGAATCCCTTGGTTATTTTAGAGTCTCGTAAAATATTTCTTTTTAAAACAATTTTATTGAAGATAGTTATGTTAAAATAGTAATAGGTGTTAAAATACAACAAGTGTTAAAATAGTAATAGGCCTACCTAAAGTCTGATTATCCTTTCTAAAATGGATATTATCAGGCATATTTCACAGGTGAAACGTGTTAGACTATTATAAGTACTTTTAGGGCTAGTCATTGGTAAAATATTATCTAACTTCTGGGTCCTTATATGTACTGGCTTTACTGTCAGCTGTTTATTAATATGAATATACTATCAAGAGATTTGTTAAGTATTTCCAGAGACTTGTATAATAATGTAATTTTCCTCAAATATAATCTTGGCCTTTGATATTTGCTTGATATATATGTTTTCTTTGTAGAAAAAGAAGGAAATAAATTTAAAAAAACATTTTAAATTAAAAAGCATAATTTTTAATAACTTTTCTCTATAATTAAAAAATTTTATTTGGAATTAAAAATATAACATATTGTAAATACAAATAGATATCTGATTATCACAATTAACTCTCTCTTTAATTATCCCTTTTATTAAAGCATTTAAGGAAAAAAAGTCAAAATTTCCTTACTGCTGTTGAATTTGTAGATTTCATTTTAAGAATTGCAAAATACAAATGGCTTACTTTCTTGTAGAAATAAGTGAGTACTCTAGATTCTCTCAGAAGAAGATTTGGAGCTACAAAACATATCACTGATTCTACCTTTTAGTTAGGGATTTAACTGGTAGTTTGAATACAGAATTGTTTAAATGATCAAGTAGTACTGAATGTTTAAAAATTCGATATAATAATGGATGTTATCCACTTTATTAATGAGTACATGTACATCACTCATGGATTTTTATAATGTGCTTTTTGGATTTTAAACCTCTGTCATTTATTTTTATTTTGCTTATTTTGTTTTTTACCTTATTTTGTGATCAAAATATAATAATTTACATTGAATTAAACTAAATTTATTTTAAACCACACATTGTATAGTATACATTTATCATATTTAAATAATTGAAATCTAAACATTTTGTACTGTACATCTGACAGCTTCCTTGTGCCTTCCAACTTCCAAATAGTTAATATCTAAAATGTTAATAAGAAAGTAGAATGACCAGTGATAAGGATGGTTTTCTTTGTAGCCCATTCATAGCATTTAGCACTTATTTGAAGCACTTAGCCCTTAATCAAATTTATCTTTGATAATTATAATTATGATAATTAGAAGCCATCCAATTAAATTGTGATAAGTATACATAGAACAGACATGTAATTGTGAAAAGTATAATTCAAATAAAGACACTTGTAATAAGTTCAGTACTTACAAATGTGTAGTTATTTGTTAATAATTTATATGAAGGCTGGGAGTGTTCCTCATTCATTGTATTTCTAATGCCCAGTCTGTAATAGGCTCTTAATAAATATTTTTAAGTTAACCAGTGAATGAAGTCAGCTTACCATCAAGCCTCCCAAAACCATATTTGTAGTTTTCCCAAGTTTCATTGAAGTTTTGTGATCCATCTATTCGGTGTTGAATTAATGTCCATGCACTACCTGAATATAATGAACAGATTGTTTATTTTCAGTAGACTGATGCTGATAGTTGTAACAAAATGCGGTTTTTTGTTTGGTTTTAATTGGTGGCTGTACAAGGTAGTTATTAATGTTGTTATGGTAATAACATTTTATTATTTATTATGAGCCCAAGAAGTTAAGTGAAGGGCAACTAATGAATTTGTCTTAATAAACTTATTGACAAAGGTCATTTTAGATTATTTTATAGAAAAAGATGGAGAATATTGAGTAAATGCCTGAGTAAATACATAAACAAGACAAATATAAGTACTAGATCTGTATAACTACTTGTGATATATATATTTCATTTTATATGTATTCAGAACAAAAATAACAGGATTAGCCTTACTAATAGGTAGTGAGTAACCTGAGCTAGCTACTGTCTAGTTTCTCTTAGGCTCGTTTTACCTGATGTAACATCACAGTAGACGTTGAAAACTTGAGAGTTGCTGGGTCTAATGGAATAGATGCCACCTGTATGTTCACCTCTATTATAAATGATGGTACAATCAGCAGGAATGTCTAGAATCAACAAAATGTTATTACGTAAGATACAGTAATAAAGAATGATATCTTTAGAGCTTGAGATTTTACTTGACATTTTATGGAATTGTGGTGACTGTAGCCTTCAGTCTTTTTCAGTAATGTGTTATTGAAAAGGTACTTTATGCTAAAGCATTTTTATTAGATGGCATGTTTTACAAAGAATATCAAAATAGTTATTACCAAACTGATTTATTTTTAAGAAAAGTGACAAAATTAGAATCTTAAACACTTTTTTCCCTTAGATCTAGGAAAAACATAAATAAAATACCGCATATGAGATGTTAGTATAGTGCTTGGTGCATAGCAGGTAGTCAACAGATACATGAGGAAAGAGTGAATGTACATAGAGGAAACTAACAGAGAACTTTTTTCCTCTATGAATTACATTAAAAATAAATGTGTTTTCAAACTATATCATTTTTTTAAAGCTTGGGTAGGAATGGAGACTTTGTTCCCCCTCTTTTTTGTTTTTCTTATGGAAAGTAGAAACATTGAAGAGAATGCCATAATCTTTTCATCTGTATTCAACAGTTGTTAACATTTTGCCGTATTTGCTTTATAAACACAAATACATACAAATATGTATTTTGCTGTGCTATTTGAAAGGAATTTGCAAACACCATGCCCCTTAACCCCTTAGATATTTTGGCATCCATCTCTTAAACATGAGATTATTCTCCTACGTAACTATAATACCATCATTACATCTAAGAAAGTTAATAATAATTTTATATTATCTAATATCAAGTCTATATTTATATTTCCCTGATTGTCTTAAGAATGTTTTATAGGGTTTAAAAAAATCACCAGGATCCAATTTAGGTTGACACATTATACTTGTTGGATTTATCTCTTTATTCTCTTTTAATTAGTCTAGAACAGGCCCTGAGAATAGAGATTTTTGATGGAAATGTCAAAGAAGAAAAATTTGACGATATTAGTTTCAAGAAGGAAACCCACCAAATTATCTTACCATCATGTTCTACATTTTTTGTTTCATTCAAGTGAAGAGAGGGAGTAGTTCTTGGTGCTCTTGGTTTAGAAGAAAGAGAATTTTCTGTGGATTCTTGAACACCAGTTCTTCTTAACTGATAAAAGAATATAAATCTACTTTAAAAAATGGTACTGAATATACAATTAGGGGAAATCTGAGTTCATAATATGTTATTGTTTTCGATGTTAAGAGGGATAAGCAATGCTATACATATTATACAGACTTGCTGTTCTCAAAATATTTAATCAGGCACATAAAGAGTTGAAAAAAATAGAGAAAGACAAGGCAAAAAACAGAAATTGATCAAAAAACAATAAGATCAAAGGCAGAGACTTTACTTAGAATATTTTAATATGTTCTATTTATTTATATGAATGTAATATATATTCTGTTCAGTGACACAGGCAGATTTTAAATTTCATAATTCTCAGTTGTAGGTCTTAAGACCTAGCACATAATTTGAACAAGGCTGCTTTCTTGATAGTTTTTGACATGTAATCATATCTGTAAAGGTAACAAATAGGCAGTTTTATTTGTGTACTTTTAATATATTCAATATTTCATTGTCTGTTGTGCTGGGTTTGCAGTTTATTGACCGATAGCTTTTCTTATTGATGGGTTGAGAAGAGCAGAGTACGTAATGTGTTATTAGTGTTAGTTTTTTGATGTCAGCATAAATGGCATTTCCTAGGATATAATGCATAGAGATCCATTGTAAAGTTCACTTACTGGATGTTAGTCTTTTCTACTAAGTAACTGTGATCTTATAGTAACTTAACTTTACAGTTTTGGTTTCTTAATTTAAATTTGAATAAGTTGGGTCAGATGATTTAAGGCTTCTTCCAACTTAGAATTCATTGTTGAATTCTTCATACATTTTATTATTAGACAGGATGTATATTATTTTATAATAGTGACATTTTGCTTTTGTGAGCAGGTTCATTTTCTCATAATAAAAGATATAGGAAAAGAATTAGAAAAATAGCATATAGTAAGAAGAAAATTATGGAAATCAAAACTAGCTGGCAAAAACCCCTTTTCAGACAGTTAGCAAAAATAACCTACTAGAATTATGAGTCATAAAATTACTGAAACATAATGTGTTTGTTTGGTGGAAATTGGTAATATTTGTTTTATAGTTCTGGGCATCTATTTTTTTTTTATACCAGTTTCTTCAGGTCTGTATTATTTTTGAAACTCTCTTGAACAGCTGTTTAGTAGTATTATTACTAATTAATATTTTTGAACTATAGTACTGTTTATTGGAAATCTTAGATTTTGGCATAGCTTTATTCCAAACACGTATCTACCTTGCTCACCTAGCCAGTTATTTACATTGTAGATTAATTATATTGTTGGATATTAAACTTTAATTATTAGACATATAGCTTCTAATAATAATATTAATCATAGTAAGTTTTTATTGACTTCCTTGTGCTAAATGTGACATTACCTTTATTAACATGTATTTATTAAGTGCCTACTATGTGTCAGACAGAGTTCTATATTTTGGAGCTATAGCAATTTTAAAAAATAGAAGAAACTTTCTGTACTTATGGAGGTTACATTCTAGCGCAGGGACAGACAAGATAAATAACTCAAATATGTATTATGTTAAATAGGGATAAGTGTTAAGGAAGAAAAGAGAGTAATGAAGGAGGTAGCAGGTTTCAAGCATGGGTGTAGGGGATTATAATTTCTTTCTTTTTTTTTTTTCTTGTTGAGTTTTTGTCTAGTTCGTTTATTAGAATGTACATAAATATCCACATTGAATGGAATTAAACATGAATATGGGATCATGGTGTAGAGGACAGGTCACTGACCTAGGAGTTAGCCCATCTGTGTTCTGACCCAGCTCTGACACATGACTGCGAATATTCCAGTTTGTCTAGAGTATAAGGTGGATTGGGAGGTAAGGCAAGAGGCCAAATAGGTAAGAAGCAAAAGAATAGGTGGCACCTGGGGGATTATAATTTATGATTAAGTTATCTGGGAAGGCTTTGAGAAATTTGTATTTGAGAAAGACCTAAAGTGATTAAGAGTAGGCCCATGCAGATATCAGGGTGAAGAGCATTCCAGACAGAGAGCAACAAGGGCAAAGACCCTGAGATAGCAGCCTGATTGATGTGTTTGTGTAACAGTAAAAAGGCCAGTATGACTAGAGTACAGGAGATGAAGTCAGTGAGATGATTAAGAGTCATCTGGGTCTTATGGGCCACTACGAGTGAGACCGGAAGCCATTGTGCGGTGTTGAACAAAGAGAGAGAGAGTCTAATTTAAATTTTAACTGAATCTCTTTGGCTGCTATGTTGAGGATGTACTTTGCATGAATTAATTCTTTTTTTCTCACAACAGTCTTGTAAGACAGATTCTTTTATTATCTACATAGAGTACATTAGGAAACTGAGAAGGGGTTAAGTAATTTATTCAAGGTCACACAAAAGTTTTAGAGCCAAAATTCAACCCCAGGTAGTTTATTAGCTTCAGAGCCTGCAAACCTAATGATCATGCTGAGGTGATCCTTTTATTCACTATCCAACTATAATTATTTTAAATAATTTTAGGGTCCAGTGTTTTCATAAACCTAAATTTTATGTAAGTGATTGGACATACTATTAAAATATTGACTTACCTGATTTTCAATTTCTTTTATTTGACTGTGCTGTTGATTTAATTGTTTGTATTGTTCTTCCACGATCTGAAGAAGATCTTTGATGCTATTATCTTGCTGTTCTACAAAAGTCTGGACATAGATTATAGGTTGGTTAGAAGTTTCTTTCTTTTTTGTAAAATTAGACTTTTTTATTTCCTATAACACTATCACAATCTAATTTTTTAAACTAATACTGGATTAGAAAAATGATATTGGCAAACCTTTTCCCCTTGTATTCCTCTTTCACATAGTACATACTTGAGTTTTTGTGTTTTACTTAAAATGTACCATCTCTAAAATCTGATTTCCTGAACTTTAAACTACTTCAATTAAATGAAAAAAACAATATTTTAATATCTTTTCCATTAACTGTATTACTTTTATACATTTTAAAGATGGGAGAATAGTTACACAGGTTATATTCCTTTAGCTTTTTACTTGCCTCCAGTAATTTGCAATAGTATAATAATTTAGTGTTCTCAATTTCATTGCTTAACTGTCTTGTAATTTTCATCTGAAATGCAAAGTTTAGTTATTTTCATAAATAATATTAGGGAAACAAAAACCAACTTGAAATTATAATGGGAAAATTTATTTCCTGGAGTCTTTTTTTCATGAGAAAAATATAGTGTTTCAACAGTTCAACAAAGTATTTCAAGTAGCATGTTTTAAAATATTTTTTTAAAAAGATCCACATTGAAAACATAATCATGAACCCTGTTTGTTTTATACTTACTTTGAGTGAAGTTATTTCCGGGTGTTCCTGAATTTCAGGTTGATTTTTAATTAAATTGGTTAATTGGTCCTCCAGGTATCTCACTTTTTGTTGAAGTAGAATTTTTTCTTCAAGGAGACTTTCAAGTTTTGAGTTGAGTTCAAGTGACATGTTCTTTACTTCTTCATTTTTGACTTGCAGTCTGGATGTAGTTCTTCTAAGTTCCTTTTCTTCTTCTTTGATTTCATTGGTTTGCAGTGATAAGTCATAAAAAGACTGATCAAATATGTTGAGTTTTTGAAATATGTCATTAATTTGGCCCTTAGTCTTATGAACAAAGTCTTTAAGACCATGTCCTAACTGAAGTAGGCCATTGGCTAAAATTTTTACATCATCTAACATAGCAAATCTTGATTTTGGCTCTGGAGATACAGAATCAAATGATGAATAATCTTGGTCAATTCTGGAAGAAATAACTAGAGGAGCAATAAAAAGAAAGAGCTTAATAGGGTACATTTTTATCCTAATTATTGACTTTAAAATGATTTGGAATTCGTTTTTTTTCCTGCAAGCATACCTAGACTTCTGAACTCTCTATATAACACTATTTGCCACATAAACAGTAAGGTTGGCAGGTGAATATAGTTAATCATTAAGCTGTTTAAACTTGTATGAATGTAACCTTCCACACTGAGTTAGATCAATGCTAAATGAAGTCAAAGAAATGAACAAAGAATTTAATAGGTCATTTAAAATGGTTATTGTATTTAATTTTGCTGTATTATAAACTGCACTTTCAGTGTTATGAGATCTACCTGTTTTTAAAAGCTCATTTTAATTTATCATGATTTTTAGAGATTTACAAGTAAATACCAAATTCTTTTGACTGATAAATTCATCATTAAAGTTGAGGAAAAATTAATGGATTAAGTATACATTTCCCAAATTGTATTTTAGTTTTTTTTGGAAACAGTGATCGATTAAAAAAAAATGCCTTCTCTGTGAAGCCTTCCTCCACATCTGCAGGTGGTGTTAATGCTGCATTCCCATGGTACTCTGTATAAGCTAACATATGATTATATATTCCTTATTATTTGTCATTGTAATTATTTGTTAGTATATCTTTTTGCTTCAGATAATCTATCTAAATCATATTTGTATATTTTCACAAAATCCCATACATTAAAATATATTTCATCCTTTTTCTCTGTTATAGTCTATGTCTCTATGTTCTAGCCTCCTCTTTTCCGTGTGCCCACTGTAAGACCAATAGATTATGTGGTTTTCTAAGGTCAACCAGAGTTAAATATTGGGTTGACCAAAAGAAAGTTTTGTTCGTTTTTTTTCCATAAGATGGCTCTAGTAGCACTTAGTTGTCTTTAACTTCATTCAAAACAATTTTGTTAGATTGTATGTGATAGCTGTCATATCAGTGTGCATTTAAAAAAAGACTTACAAAATTGGTGAATTTTTGCGTAGCCATTTTAATATTGAAGATGGAAGAAAAAGCAACATTTTGGCATATTATGCTTTATTATTTCAAGAAAGGTAAAAATGCAGCTGAAATGCATAAAAAGACTTGTGCAGTATATGGAGAAGGTGCTGTGACTGATCGCATGTCAAAAGTAGTTTGCGAAGTTTTGTGCTGGAGATTTCTCACTGGACGATGCTGCACTGTCGGGTAGACCAGTTGAAGTTGGTAGCGATCAAATCGAGACATTATTGAGAACAATCAACCTTATACCACACAGGAGATAGCTGACATTCTCAAAATATCCAAATCAAGCGTTGAAAATCATTTGCACTGGCTTGGTTATGTTCATCGCTTTGATGTTTGGGTTCCACATAAGTTAAGTGAAAAACAACCTTCTTGACTGTATTTCTGCATGTGCTTCTCTACTGAAATGTAATGGAAATGTTCCGTATTTAAAACAAATTGTGATGGGCAATGAAAAGTGGATACTGTACAATAATGTGGAACGGAAGAGATCATGGGACAAGCAAAATAAACCACTACCAACCACAGCAAAGGCTGGTCTTCATCCAAAGAAGGTGATGTTGTGTATATGGTGGGATTGGAAGGGAATCCTCTATTATGAGCTCCTTCTGGAAAACCAAACGATTAACTCCAGCAAGTACTGCTCCCAGTTAGACCAACTGAAAGCAGCACTCAACAAAAAGCATCCAGAATTAGTCAACAGAAAACACATAATATTCCATCAGGATAACGCAAGACTGTATGTTTCTTTGATGACCAGGCAAAAACTGTTAAGCTTGGCTGGGGGGTTCTGATTCATCCACTGTATTCACCAGACATTGCACCTTTGGATTTCCATTTATTTTGGTCTTTACAGAATTCTCTTAATGGAAAAAATTTCAATCCCTGGAAGACTGTAAAGGGTACCTGGAACAGTTCTTCACTCAAAAAGATAAAAAGTTGGGAAGATGGAATTATGAAGTTACCTAAAAATGGCAGAAGGTAGTGGAACAAAAGAGTGAATACATTGTTCAATAAAGTTCTTGGTGAAAATGAAGAATGTGTCTTTTATTTTTTTTTTATGAACCAAAGGCACTTTTTGGCCAACCCAAATGTCAGAATGTTACTTAAAATGTCAGAAACTATTTGCCCATTATAAGTTTTTCTAAAGTTTGTGTGCTTGGTAACAATATTCATGATCTAAATTTAACAAAACCAAAAAATTAATAGTATGATTAAAAATAATGTTCCCCTGTGCTTCTAACTTAGTGTTAAAAGGAAAAATACTAAATGTTTCAGTTAAATTATAAGTGATTATTTTTCTTGAGTGTTCATATTAAGAACTATTTTTGGGAAAATAATAAATACTTTTAAAATGCCTTATCTTGACAAATTAATATAGTAAAATTGTTAAGAGTGTGGTCTTTGGAATCAGATTATGGTCTGGTCCAGAAGCCAGATCTAGCTATCCTGCCTTAGATAAGTTACTTAACCTTCCCACACCTCAGTCTCCTCTTCTGTGAGTTGGGTATTTTTTTTTGGTACATACTTAAGGAGAAGCAAAAGAAGTAATATGTGTAAAGTACTTAGAACAGTGTCTGGCAAATAGGAAGTACTCAAAATGTTAGTTATTATATCCATGAAATTACCTTTTAATTTGTGTGTGTGTGTGTGATTAGCCCTATCTAAATGAAATTTTTCATAAATGCAATAGCTCTTTTGCAAAGGGAAAAGTTTTAACATAATGAATTTCAGTTTAAATGGTAAATTATCAAGTAAAACTTTACAAAGTTTATCATTTCCAAATTTATTCTTAAAAATGCTTCTTCCTGGAGTAAAACAGAGACCCTTTCTTTTGATGATTTAGGATTAAGGGCTTTTGGATAGAACAGTTGCAGTAGATGTAGTAAACCACAGTGGCTAAGAGTTTGATTCTGGAGAGAGACTGGATGAATTGGAATCCTGGCTGTGCTGTTCTTCAGCTCTGTGAAATTACTTAGCTTTTCTGACCTCTGTTTTCTTGTCTATCAAGTGAAGATAATATCTACTCTATAGAGTTATATAAAGACTAAAAATATTTTAAAGCACTTAGAGCACTACCTAGTGTTTAGTAAACATTACACAGTATTATATATTAGTATTCTTTTGTAATTAAAAAGGCAATGCACTTACGTAATATTGCTGTAATATTTTATTGGTAAATATTATCTAGTCTTATGTGAAGAAGATGACATAAATTGGGAAGTTTTGCTAGAGTCTGGGTTTTCTGAGTTTTGGTCTCTTGGACCTTGATAAGTACAAGGAATTATGTCTTTTGTTTAGCCTGTGTATACTTTTTCTAAGTGTCCAATACAGAACCACATAAATATTTCTGTTTGTAAGAGAAATATAGAATGCAAGTAGATAAAAGTATACTAATACTTCCACTAATGAAGAAGAAAAACAAAATATTTTTCCTTATTCTTCATTTTCATCTTACCTTTACCACTGGTACATGTTATGGAATTATAGAAGTGTATGTTGAACTAATGAAGAAATTTGAATTTCCTCCCTCTTTTTAAAAGAGATATGTTAGTGTTGTGATCATTGGTCCTGAAGGGCATATTTCGAAACTTCTCCTAACTAAACTGTCTACTTTTCTGGCTTAAAACTATTGACCCTGATATTTCATCCATTTTCTAGTTGAGGGGGAATGGAGATGGGCCAGCTTCTTGTCTCTATTGTACTATAAGCTGTTCATTGGTAAGATCTATATCTGTTTTAAATTTATATCCTGTATAGCACTTTAGTACAATGCCTAACATGCTGGAGAAACCATACATTTTTATTGAATGAGTAAGATAATGATAAAGTCTTAACATGGGAGTTTTTCAAACACAAAATTTGCATATAATAGATACACCTTTTTGATATAGGAGGTTCTTTTCAGAGAAAGGAATTTGAAAAGTAGTCCCTTCCAGTGCATGAAAGTAACTGGACACTAATACCAAAGAAAGGCTGTGTGAAGGAATTTCCTTCTATTTGGTTACTCTGCTGGAGTATTGACACTTTTTGCACAATTTATATATTTCCTCACATGTAACACAAAAAGATAGATTAGAGGCAGCGGTTGCATATTCTTGGTTTATAGTATATATTGTCTTTGGGTAGAAATATCTGGATAATTTTTTTTCTTACCATAGTTTGACATGTTATTTAATATAATTAAAATAAATAATTTGCCTAATTATAAGCTGTGGAAGAGTGTCAACATGGGAAATGTAATGAAAGTAGTAATTTTATAAATGATTTTTACATCTACCTTTTAATGCCCCCTGTCTGAGTACACATTGTTAAAGGCAGAATCTAATCTTTGCTTGAACTTGTGCCTGTTTAAATAGAACTCTGATAAGATGTAACCAGTAATGTTATAAAAACTTAAAATTTTTATGCCAAAGAAAATAAGAAACTAAGCAAAATTAAGACCTAATTTAAGAATTCCTAGTTTCAAAGAACTAATATACAAAATTTCTTAGCTGCATAGAATTTTAGGACATTTGGGAGCTTTGTTTAAATTCCAAGCAAAGCAAAGTCCCTTATCCTCCCCCAGGTTGTGCAATCTTATGGAGATTTGAGTTCCAAATAAAACACAAGGCATTTGGGGTCTGTTGAATATAGTATCACTAGTAATTTCTTCCTTTTAAACTGTGGTCATTTGTTTTTGAATTAATATATTCGGTAGAAAGATTCTAAAAGTAACTGAGAAAAGCATATTTATAAATAGAAATATTTATAGTAACTAAAGAATAATGCCGGAGTAATATCAATATGTTAGCTCCCTTTTCCTCTCTTTGTCCAGAGCAGCACTGTCCAATGGAAATATAGTGTGAACTATATGTGTAAAAAACTGCAAAGAAACAAGTGAAATTAATTTTAATAGTATGTTTTGTTTAATCCAAATCTAGTATGTATTTTATACTTTCAGGATATCTCAGTTAGAACAGGTACACATCAAGTACTCTATAGTCTCACTAGACCATATTATTGGACAGCAGAGGTCCAGAAGATGAGTGACTTTCGAAGGAATCATTTTGTTTATCTTAGCTTTTTTCTCATGTTCACTATTAATAAATGTTAATTTGTTATGTTGAAAGTATTTATCGTGGAAACTCAGATATTTGAAAAACCTATAAAAAATAAAAATCCTGACTCTTCCCTATTAACACTTTGGGGTCTATCATACCAGTTCCCTTGGATGACTACCTAAATGTAATTTTTTTTTTAACACAAATGGGAGTGTGTTATATATAGCTTGTGTTATATATATAAATTGATTCAAGACCATAACATTTTAAAATTTATTTTCATATGAGTGCCTATACCATATCCTTTTAAATGGCTGCACAATCTTTTATTATATGATGCACCTTAATTTAATCATCTGCTTGTCAATGATCATTTCAGTTGCTTGCAATTTTCTGATTACAAACAATATGCATAGAAAAGGTGTTTATGTTTCTGTATAAATATTTTCATATGATAAGTTCATAGATGTTAACTTTCAAAGTAGATTTCTCTTGTCAGATTATCCTTTAAAAGAATTGTGCCAATTTATATCCCTACCAAGAGTATATGAGAGTTCCTCTTTTCCCATGAATTTTTACCAGTGCTTTAAATTGACAAAGACAAAAAATATTGATAAACCTAGTAGGCACATATATCTAGTTTATTTTGCTGTCTGTCTTGCTCTCTTTGTGAATTACCTGAGAATTATCTGAGTCTCCCTCCCCCCATCAAACTCCCCACCCCTTTTTTGTTTGTCTCTTTCTGAATAATTTTAGGAATTATTCACATGTGATGGATACTAACTCTTTGTCATGTGTGTAGCAAACAGTGTTCTTCCAA